GATTTATTAGGACTAAGCTTGTGTGTGAAGGAGAAAACCTCTGACATGTTGGTCGGTTGGCCCCGTAAGTTATAGACCATATTGCATTAAAATGCCACCACAGGTGTGGATGGAATTAGTGACGCGTCCCAAACAGAACTGGCCAACTCCGAAAGGCCCTACCTTTTTTTTAAGTTGGAGGAAATGGTGTTAACCAGTACATCTGGATTGCGCCACTCAATGGTGTTGCAGACTTTCCCAAAAACCTACTTGCTTAGCTCGAATTTATAACAAAGGGTACTCACCGGCTAGGATTCCTCCGTGGTCCGAGCACCAACAATTCGGCGGCGTCATCGAACTCTCGCCGCTTCACCCAAACTTCAGTTTCAGCGTTGGCATTGTTTGATCGAAAATCAATCTTAACAGCACGATAGATCAATGTCAAATTACTAAGTGATAAATGAAGTACTGAAACTGACCGCTGTATTGGGGAGTACTACTTGCTGGTTAGCGACGACTAAAGAACCCGATCGAGGCTCGTTCCGAGTGGCTGCAAAGTAGTGCGGTTAGGAAGAAGACACATCGTGATTTATATTCGATCAAAAATTTTTGAGCACATGACTTTATTTTCGTCGAAGTTGATTAACTGGTCTGAAGATTGTTGCGCCACTTTTCGCGGGAAGACTCCTCTGAGCTTTCGGGTGTTGAGAGGTCTACTTCTAGACCATCGTACGCAGGGCTAGATCACCCTCAATGCGCACGTCCGACAGCTCATCGATGCGCTAGATAGGGATCCCTGCAAACGCGTCCTGAGCCTTTTCTCGTGCAGAAATTGTCACATTTTGCATTTCAACGATTTTGTTCGAAAGTTCGTCGAGCTCCGAATGTGGGAGGACATTTCAATTGTCATGCGCAACAGCTCTAGTTGCGTTTCATACTTTGCAGCAGCGCCCACAGCGAACAACCTGCGTTCAGCGTCTCGAGGAATCTAAGAAAATATTAGATATGATCTAGCGGTTCTGGGTCAGCCCACACGGACCAGCACACCAGTAACCAGAAGTATTGGTCGTTGCGCAGTAGTTATGGTCAGCGTTGCACATGCCACATTTTCACGGGGCCTAATCCAGCTGTTTCCTCCCTCCTACTTCCCCATAGTTTACCAGCAGTGTGCTACCCTCCTACCTCCCCGTACTCTCTACTCGTTTCGCTGATGGACCTTGGTAGACAATGAATATCCATACATTCCTAGTCGCTCGAGCTGATGGTCTCTGGCGGACGCTGGCAGGCGTTGGTAGACGCTGCCGTTCGCTAAATAGACCATCTACACTTTGCATAGTCGCCGACGCTGACGAAACGCCTAGAAACGCCAGGTTGATCGGCTGTATGACTCTGCGTAGACGCTGCCGAACATATGAACGCAAGCTTTATTGAAGAAAAACCTTTAGCAGGTGCGCTACAGACACCTGAACAACATCCCGGCGTCGGTGGCTCACCATAATTGCTGAGGGACCGAGGCATGGCGGCAGCGACGCTGCTGAGTGATGCAAAGCGTTAGTATGCTCCCGCTCTAAACCTCCGTAGCTTCGTCTAGGCAGGTCCGCAGCACTAATGAAAGCCGGATTTGGAAATAATCAAGGCCCAGAACCGCATCTGGCAATTTAAATTTCTTTTCAAACGGCCTCTTTGACCCACTCCTTCCTCTATAGCACGCCCGAATTCGAAAAGTGTCCAACTTACCTTTGGCGAAATTCCTCGAAGATACGTAGGTGACCCAAGCGAATTCAAGCAGAGCACAAAAGATGAAGGTAAGACAGGCGCCAATCCAAACGTCGATTGCTTTCGTGTAGGAAACAGGTGGTAACTTGGCGTTTATACCAGATGCCTACAAAAATCAGAACAACTGCAGGAGTCAGACCAAGTAACGAAAGGTTGTCCTACCTGTGTTGTCATCGTGAGAAGAGTCGTCACCCCGAGTGTTACCCTTGCCGGAACTGCTGTTCTGTCCAGCCAAAATGAAACCCACGACACGATCACCAACATTGTTGACGGTATGTAGAGTTGTAACAAGTAGTAACTAAAAATAACTCGCGTTACGTAGAAGAGTCAGTAGAAGCTATGTATCGGGTTAATACGGAAAGGTTACCTGAACTGTCTTCTGAGTTCGAGTACAGTTCTCAGACAAGAATAAGTGCCGGTATTTGTTTTGCTGGTGCAATAGGTTGTTGATACCTACAGAAAAACTTTCGTATAGGGTACGATTTTGCTGTGGGGAAAATTTCTCCGTGTAAAATGCCTCACATTATTCAGCTGGAAGCTTGGCAGTGAAGAATTCAACCCATCTTTTAGTTGCACAGGATCTGTTTCCTT